AAATAAGTATAAGTAAGGACTAAAGGTATTTATATAGCTTATACTACAAAACCTTATTGCTTATATATAACAAATAGTTAGCGATAAACGCGTAAACGTTAGTAGCTATATCTAGCTAGTAGTACTTCCTAGTAAAGAGTTCTATAGTCTTATAGACTCTTATATAGCCTGCTATAAGGGAGTTATAGTGTAAACTAATTAGCCTTACTTATAGCTTGTTTGCTAATAAGACAACGATGTAATCTTTATAGAATAAAGTATTCTCTTCTTATAGATAATAAGTGTTATTCTTTTAGCTTTGTCTAGCCTTTATAAACAGGTTTTTTAGTAATTAGTCTTAGCCTTAAGCGTTATAAATAGTATTATATAGTTTAAAGAAGCACTAGAGTTATAGCGGCTATTCTTAGCTAGTAGCAACCTACGCCTCTTATACTAATATTAATAAAGCTCTTAGTATAAAGAGCCTTAATAATTAGTTTGCAATCTGTATCTTTCTAAGAAGTAAGGAGAGTATGTTATTATATACAATGTTACCTTTTATATAGTCTAGTTAGCAAGATAGACTGTTTACTAGGTTAGTAGACCCTAGGTAGTGCTTAATCTTAAAGTTAAACGCTAAAAGATAGAATACTTATTAGGTAATTTAGTTCTAGAGATTCTTTGCTAATACTTTAACAACGCTTTTTAGCGCTTAGTAGTTAGTTAAGACTATAAATAAGTTCTTTAAACCTTTTAAATAGTAACGCTAGTACTTTAAGCTTTTAATAATAGCTAAGAGCTCTTACTATCTTACTCCTTACTATATTTTATAGACTGTTAGCTTACGTAAGTAGTAAGCAACTAGTTGCTACTTGCTATCTATAAGCTAAGAGATAATGCTAGAGATAGCGTAGCTTAACGCATTCGTTTCTACTTATGTAAGCTTTATATTATTATAGTAATAAAGAATTATTGCTATTATAAATGCTATTTTTAGCAATTTAAAAGTAACCTTTGCCTCTTTAGTTAATATAAATAGTTGCGTAGCAACGGCTTTACGCTTATATAGTAAGCTAAAGCTCGTCTTAATTAACTTTATTAAAGCTTGCATAATGCAAGAGTAGTAGGAAATAAAGCGTTTATAAAAGTTTGTAAACTCTAGGAAGGATTGCACATTTTATACGCACTTAAGGGCCTTTTATTTAGCAATAGCTTTAACCTGCTTAGAGTTTATAGCTAGCTCTTTTATAGTAATAATAAACCCTAAGAAATTAATTTTCTCTGTAAAGAATTTACACTTCTTAAGATTTATATATAGCTGCGCAGCTTTTAGCCGCTTAAAAACTAATTAAAGGTGCTTCTTATACTTCTCTTTAGTCTAAAAGTAGATTAAGATGTTATCTAGGTACACCTTGCAAACTATGCCTACTAGCCTTGCTAGTGCGCGGTAGATATATGCTTAAAATGTAGCTAGCACGTTAGTTAGTTTAAAGAGCATAATATAAAACTTAAAGAGCCTATATTTTGTTTAGAAAGTAGTCTTTTACTAATTAAAGGCCTTAACTTAGATTTTATAGTACGCTTTCTTTATATTTACTTTAAAGAATACAATTATGCTATCTAAGTAATTTAATAGCTTACTAATTAATAAAAGAAGGTAGCAGTCCTTCTTAGTTACTTAATTTAAACCTTAGTAGTTAATGTATATATATAAAGTACTATCTTTCTTTTAGACGAAAATTACTAGAGCTTTAGCTAGACTATTGCTATAGGCAATTTGCTTATTTGCTAATAACTTATTAATAAAGTAGCAAAGCTTCTTTTGCTAGGTAAGAGACAGCAAGTATAGAGGGCTATATAGTACCTTTATACTATCTTCCAGCTTAATTAGGTGCTTTGCGTTTACTAATAAAGGTAGTTTCTTTACTTTATTAGTATTAAGCACTTTAGCAAATAGTTATATATAGAATAGTAGTTGCTAGCTAAGGTCTAGTAAAGCTAGATTATTATTTATAGTAAGGATGTTTAGTTTATAAAGACTTAAATCTAACTATATTAAGTAGATAGCAAATAACTTCTTACTATTATATAAGCGTTAGCTTATTTCCTTAAAGGTCTTAAAAACTATAATAGCAAATAACTAAGCTTATTAGATAGTGTTAATAATAACGCCTAAAAACCTTCGTCTTTTATAACTTAAAATAATGTCTTTATAGTTAGCGCCTACTTAGCAAATAACTATAAAGACATATATTAATATATAAAAGACCTTATTCTTTATTAGTATAATAGTTAGCTTATATAGGCTATAGGCTTATAGTGCTTTCCTATTAATAAAGACTAGGTTTAGGTTTAAGTACTACTAAAGTAGCTTTAAACTAAGCTATTAAACAACCTTTAGGTTAACTACGTTTAGGTTAGCATAGAAATTTAGGTTTATAATAATAGTAGCTTAGCGATTACTAGGCGTCTATACTTTAGCTAAAGTATAGTAGTAAGGAATTATATTTTTAGTTAGCTATACTAATAAGGTTAATAAAGAATAAGGCTTTTTTATTAACCTTACTAGTTTTCTTAGTTAAAGTAAGTTGCCTTTTAGTTATTAAGCTCTTAAAGACTATCTTTTAGTTTTACTTAAAGCTTTTTAATATATACATAGGTTTTAAGCTTAAAGCACTCTTAGAAAGTATGCCTACTCTTGCTATAATTCTAGCACTTTAACGCAACATTAATATTATTTAAACTACTAAGGTTAATAAGTTAAAAAGTAAACTAACCTTAGCTAGCAACTAGTTATAGGCTTAGGTTGCTCTTTATAAAACCGTAGTTCTTTATCTTATTATTATTATAGCGCTATTTCTTTATTAGCTTACTAGCTAGCACGCTATTAACTATAACTACCTACTTTTAGTTATTTTATCTCTTTGTTTATTCTTAGCCTTAAGACTAATACTCTTTATAAGCATTAGTAATCTTTATTACTATACTAAAAAACTTACTAATAGTTTTATTCTAATACTACTTTGCTAAGTAGTTGTTAAGCTTTTATTAATACTTTTAAGTAATCTTACTTACCTACTTAAAGGTATTACTAATCTTTTATTATAAATAGTCTTATTTTTACTAGTACGCTATTAGCAACTTGCCGCCCTACTAAAGCGTCTAGCTTTCCTTATAAATATAGTATATCTAGAATTTAAGGTTTATGTGTTCTTAATAATTAAACGCAATAAAGTGCGTCTATATAAAGCGTATAATTAAGAGTTTACTAGCGTAAAGTTAGTTGCAGTTCTTTTACTAATTAGCTGCTAGTATAGTAGTTAGCTAACTACTTACCTAAATAATCTTTATATCTTTTAACGCATTACTGCGTATATTAATATTATAAGCGTTCTTTATTATTGCTAACCACTCTTTTATCTTTATAGTAAAGGCACTAATTTCTAGCCTTTTAATACTATATTATAGTAGCTTATTATTATAGTAGCAACTACTAGGCAGTAGCCCTATAACCTTTATAGCTATAATATTAGTTAATGCCTCTAGCGTCTATATAATGCAAGTATATTCATCGCTTTACAGCTGCTTTTTAGCCAGCAAGGTGTCGTTAAGCAGCACGTATACCGGTCTCGTTTCTAACTTAACGGACAGGGTTAGGGTGCCTCTAAATGCTGCGCGCAAGGTATAGCTGCCGTGCATTAGCGTAAGGGGTAGCATTAGCACGTCCTTAGCTTCTAACAGTTCGCATGCTAATCGCAGAGTAGCCGCCCTATGATTAGACATTGCTCCTTATAGAATTAAAGTTAAAGAATGTAAGGGTTAGTGTGCAATGCATGGTTATAAAGGCTTAACTAGTTTGTACTGTTATATTAAGACTTTAACTTAACGAACTATAGGAGACTGGTAGGCGAAGGTTAGGGTTAGGTTTAGTTAGGGTTAGGTTAATTTATACGTGGCTAGAAGATGCGGTGTAGCGCAACCTTAGTAGGGCGTGGCATAGCTAAGTAGCTATGCTAGTCCCGTGCAACGTGTTAAGATAGTTTGTTAAGTCTGTCGCTTAGTAAGCGACTAGTTGCTAAACCGGTGCGTAGGGACGCGTGTGTAGAATACCCTTACATTAATTTAGTATAAAGTAGTAAGTATACTAGGTAGTAAGAATAATAATAAAGGTAGTATTAGTAGACGCTATTACTTTTGCTAATAGCCTTATTATATTTTAAGCTAATTAAGCACTAGTTTAAGGTTGTATAGTATAATACTAGTCTTTTTAAATATACTAGTAATTATAAGTAGCTTAAACGCTTGCTAGAAAACGTTTTTTATAATTAAAAGAAAGTTAAGCTTACTAAAGTTTATTAGCTTTTCAGCGATTTTTTGAAGTTAAATCGCGTTGAATTGTGCTTATTTGGCTGGTGTGACTATTTGGCTGGCTAGCGCCACCTATGGTGGTGCGCGTTTTTCAACGCGCGCCCTAGGTAAAGCAAAGCACGAGTAGATCTTCTAAAGGCCTTAGAGCTTACTACGATACGTGCAACTAGTCCGGACGAATATCCCACAAGGATTACCGTACGGGTCTTACACTGGTATTCGCGCAGACGACTGCGCGTACAGACTAGTGGTGCACGGAGTAGAAGCCACAGTAAGTTGTATCGTATCTTACGATAGCGGAATTAGAGCTATTGAGTTTGGACGATAAAGTCAAAGCATGCCACCGAATTTTTCAACCTGGGATCGGGCTAAGACACGAGGTTGCACAGTCATTGGCCAGCTCCTCCAAATAATTTTACTACATAATATACTTAGGGGGGTATGCAGCCGAGGCTACCGGTTGGTGGGCGCGTCGCGAGAGCTTTATTTTCAAATCATCAAACTTGCACGCCGCAAATGCTTATGTGAAGCCTTTCCCGCCCTTTCCTTTCCCCTTCTTCCTTTTCGTTGTCCTGCTTTATTGCTGGGCTTTAAGTTTTTAGCTTCCGCCCTCCCGTTTTGGTAGTGGTTCTCTACGGTCTGCCACTGCCAGCATGGCTTCCCGATACAAGGACAAGGAGGCCGACGTGCTGGTCTCCTTAAATGGACGATGGGTGAGCTGGGCACACACAGCGGCGGCGTACTGTATGTCGACCCCAGTTTTCAGTATTGTCATGCTACGCCTGTGTTCTGTCTACTGATGTTTTATTCTATGCAGCGGCCTTTCTCAGTGCCCTCGTCGTAGGAATCTCGCTCCACTACGAGAAGATTGTCCAAAACGAATGGTTCGGCTACCCAGAAGAGTGGTTCCCGTCCGTATCAGCAACGATCGGCGACAGATACCCAGAACGATCGTTCTTCATGCTGTTTATTGCTTTGACATCCGGTTAGTTTGAGCACTACGAGATAAATATGGTCATCTCTGTTGGCTTACTTCCTGCTAACGAAACGAGGCCCGAGATTCGCCTTAGTCGGATTGTGGTACTTGTTGGCGTCAAGCCCCGGACGGGAACTCCCAAAAGTTGTCGCTTCTTTCGGGGTGTTTCGATCACTCACATGTGGTGGCTGGACGTATGTGACGTCGACAGATAATCATGATTGGCACGATATTTTCATGATATCCTACCTTGTTGCAACAATCCCGTGGATGTTCGGATGTCTCGCCCTGAGCCCCGCAAATGCACAAGCTTTGAAGTACCGCAAATGCATCGCCGCTGGGTTTTTTGGCACCATCATCCCGATGGTATATTTTTTTATCCAACACAAGGTTCACCGTGTTGCAGGTGGTGAGTTGTTGACGTTTACCTTGGCCACTACTCGGTCTCCATGCATTGTTTTCTCCTACTAATCACCCGCAACCGCAGCCTACACGATTTACGCATTTTTTGAGTGGTCTCTTGTCCTCTCCGACGTGGCCTTCGATGCCGTGACAGCACTAGACTTTAAATCGCTCGATCTGATAGTGAGGGATACCAGAGGAACAAGCAAGGGGTACGTGCAATGGCTTCCAAGGTAGATGGTTCTGCATACCTCTGTCACAATGGCAAGCATAAGACGGTGTTCACGAAAAAAAGAATTCGCGTTCTGTTTCAGGTGTGGAGGGGTGTCTTGACTACTCGATAGAGGCAAGTTCGATGAACAGCGTTCTAAAAATTCTGCAGTGCACGACGATCCCCTGATGCCGCTACTCAAACCTCGGAGAAAAGGGAGAACCATACCGATAACGTGGTTTTGGCCTTCGCATGGCCTAACGCATTGGATGCTGCCGCTGATGTGTACCACGGATTTGTATTCTGGTCGGTCCTGACAAGTCTCGGCTTAGTTGTATGGTACTTCCCTTTGTGGCACATGGGCATCTCTGGATACGAAGCCTTTGTCATGTCGACAATATCTCCGTTCTTATTCGCTATCCGGCCATTTCGAGCCCTCGTTGTTCGGCATCAGCGTCTCATACATCTGTCGTCACTCGTTGGCCTCTTAGCATACAAAGTTCTTGATCCTGCGTATCGCTTGTTGACTATCGGCCTTGGAGTTTCTTTGCAGTGCCTTGCTTGGGTCGCCACTTTCACATCAGCAGCCAATCGTGAGGGCGTAACTGAGACCAAGGTCCTCGCTTTCACTCTCGGCTTGCTCATGTCGAGCATTGCAAAATTCGCCTGGCACACAAACAATCCTATTTGGCCGATCATGCATGCGGAAAATGGCGGCTGGAACGCTACCGGCTTCTTTATTGCCGTTATTGCAGCACTGCGATTCACGAGAAAGAGTGCCACTTTCAACAACCATGCGGATAGTCTCACAAAAGGCTCCAGCTTATTGTATGCTCTAAGCGTTGGTGGCCTTTTCTTTGGACTTCACTCTCTGCTGTCAGACTCTAGCACTATGATTTTATGGGTATGGGAGGGTTACCCAGTCCGGGGACCTCTCTCTAACACACACGCCCATTACACAATTTTCGCCATGACCTGTGGTGCTGTGCTCGGAGTGTCTTCCCCTGCCCTGGTCTCGTCGTGGTTGGCTTTCGGATTTGCAAGCGTAGGTGCTGGTGCGCTCACTTTGTCGGGCAACTGGCTCGGTTTCTACGGTGGCTTGATCTTAGCGACATACCTCACAGCCTTTGCAATCCCTCTTCTCACAGCTGCGTCCAGAAAAAGCCCCGCCGTCGTATTTGGTCTAGGCTTCCTGGTTTACAACTTTATGGTACTCTTCCATGTCTGGGTTGTCGCTTATGCCTTTGTCCCTGGCGGACCACTGGTTCGCGAACACACGGATTGGATAATGACAATCACAATGGCTTTACTTGGCTGTGGCGTTTTCAGTATCACTGCAGCGGAGGCGCGTCCCTCCTCATCCAAATACCGGAAGCGCGGTTCAACTGCCGGACAACGCAAATACTACTATGGCGTCGCAGGATTACTGAACATACTGTTCCTCTGTGCTGCTTTTGGTCGTTTTCCCACAAACGACTTCCAGACGTATCATCCCGAAGATCGCGTTCTGACCGCTGGTATCTGGACGATTCATTTCAGCTTAGACAACGACATGTGGAGTTCTGAACGGCGAATGCGCGACTTGATTAAGGAGGCAGAGTTGGATGTGGTAGGCCTCCTCGAGAGCGACCTTCAGCGCATTATCATGGGCAACCGTGATACGACTCAGTTTCTTGCAGAGGACCTTGGCATGTATGTCGACTATGGTCCAGGTCCAAACAAGCATACGTGGGGCGCGGCTCTACTCTCAAAATTTCCCATCCTCAACTCAACACACCATCTTCTTCCTAGCCCAGTCGGCGAACTAGCACCTGCCATTCATGCAACGCTAGACGTCTACGGAACACTGGTTGATGTATTCGTTTTCCATTCGGGACAAGAGGAAGACCCGGGGGATCGTAGACTTCAGTCAGAATATCTCGCAAAACTCATGGGGTCTTCTCATCGGCCCAGCATCCTTCTCAGTTATCTCGTCACGAAGCCGCTAGAAGGCAATTACAACACATACGTTTCCGGGACATCTGGAATGCATGATGTCGATCCGTCTGACTGGGACAGATGGTGCGAGTACATTCTGTTTAAAGGCCTTCAGAGAGTTGGCTATGCCAGAATAAGCCGCAGTACTATCACAGATACCGAGCTTCAAGTTGCAAAATTTGTTGTTCCGCACAGCAGCGAACGAGCGGCATATTTATTCAACGTCGATGATGAGACAAGAAACAGACGGGTGCCTGAGGCCGAGGTTCCAGAGGGTTGGAGATTTCCCGCACTTTTTAGAGGTGACGGCGTCAGAGGCCATCGATACCATGTTTTTGACGAGCCATGGTATTACAACTATTGAGAAAGACACTCGCGCCATAAGCAGTTCAATTTGTAGGATCTAGACCATCGCACGCCATGTACTACAAGCATTGTATATTGTATCACTACAAACCCGTCTACTATGCACTGTTTCAAGCCCACCTAAAGATTGACAGGTAGAAGGACTCAAGTGTGTATTCATTGTCATATTCTACAGTTGTGTTTTTAATAAAATCAGGCGAACATGCGTTTGGTAGAAGGTGGTACGTGAACACACAAGACGTCAGCTAACTGTCTCACAATGTGACACGACCGCCAACCTCAAAGGTGTGCAATTATGACAATCACAGTCCAGCAGGAAAGCAGTTGTAAGTCAGTTGTAAGTAAACATTTTAAAACGTAACTCGACATACAGCAGTCATGCAGTTACACTTCAAGAACTGTTAATCCTTCTGTACGTAAATGTAGACAACTTTCTTCTCCCCTCGAAGCCCAGTTCGTGTAGCGTCCCAGCCTAGTTCCTTGATAGGAAGTTTCATGGACTCAGCATCATCGCCGCGAAGTTCAATGCCTTTATACCAACGACCACCGCCACCTGGACACACTTCAGTGATGATGTTCATTTTTGGAACGGAATTCTTGGCTCCAAATCCTTTCATCAGTTCAGCCACGGAGGTGTTGACAGGGACGTGGCAAGCGTGGAACTGCATGGCGAAGTTTGCAGGCAGCTGCCAGGGGGGGGTAGAGCCAGTTTTCAGAACATGTATTTTGGTGTGTTCTGAGGGGAAGAAATAATTATAACCTGGCTCACAGCCAAAGCCACCTGTCGAATTTCGCATGTTGCAAGTGCGGAAATTGCCATCAAGCTGGAGCTGCCTCCTTTGGCCCTGTCCTTGGCCCCCAGTTGGCGGCTGACCAGACACGGGGAAATATGGAGGGAAAATCGTGCTGGGAACGTATTGGGGCGTGAGCGGAGGGCCCTGATTAATGGCATAGTAGCAAGGAACCTGGCTTTTCTCGAACGATGACATGTGCCGGGAAATATGTTGATGGGAGGACGCTCGCAGCCCTGGCATGCCTGCATTAACTGGCGGCGGTCCGTGTGGATCCTGTCCATATCTGGGGTTGCCGCCACCGGAAACCCCGTTGTAAGCCATGAAATGCCTTGTTGCTCTCTTTTTTTTGTACTAGCCACAATGACGTTATTTCTTACTTCTGTAATATCTGTCACCTGTGAGAGTGGTGAGCAGAAGATCTCTCAAGGTCCCGAAAGTAAATATGCGGTAGATTAGGTGCTGGGGCTGTGGTGGATGAAGAAAGAGTTATTCAGAATGCAGGAGCCGACCTACTTATATGCCAACTACTGTAATCTTAGGAGTAGCTAGCACATAAGGACCAACGAGCTTGTGGATGATTAAAATCACAAGGTAACCTCGTCAATGGACGAGTTGTTCTTCCCTTACAGACTTGGTGAGGCGCGAAGAAAGCTGTACAAATGCAGCACAAACCAGCGTTTAACAAACCTTTAGGTCAGCACTGACTCTTGAATAATGAAGACTTCAGTTTCCCAGAGCCTGTTGTCATGGGAGTCGTAAAAGACAGACACAAGTAGCCAGGCCCAAAAAATTGGCGCTTGCTGTGAAACGTAGAGATATTGTCCTATGACAACTTTGGTTGCTGGAAACGGAAGTGGCTCCTCAGCTTTATAACCTACTGTAACACGTGCAGTATGTTCCTGTGCTTGACGATCCACTGTGACAGCCTGTGACAAATCCCAGCACGAGTAAGCAACGATAGTAAAGGACGCTTTCTTTTTCTGCAGTCGTGGAAGTGAAGATCTAAGAAGTATCTGACAGCTTAAAAGCATTTGGAGGGCGAGAAGAGGGAGGGCTGGTCTCGTAGAAGTTCAAAGGGAGGACGTCTGCCGCGTAATAAGAGGTTGCCACGTAATGTAAACGGTCATTATACAGATGAGACAAGGCCATAGCAGAGAAATCTAGCAGTGACTCAGAAGGTGCTTTATAAAGCACTCATGCCATGTGCACCAGCCGGGGCGGTTTTCATTAACAGGTAACACTCAACTGCTAAAAGCATAAACTAGGCTGCCTGACGTGGCTGAACAAGACGCTAAAATGAAATCTTTACTATTACAAAAACTGCAAACCTGAGAGATGCAATGCCTCCAGAAACAGCTAAAGGTGCTCTGCCCGGCAGCAGAAGAAATGAACGTGGGGGCATGTCGATTATCGTTGAAAGCATACCAATGTGGTCATAGCCTTATTATGGTGCCAACCGAGGAGGACGGAGTTTATTATCATCTTCCTCCCGCACGATACGCAGGCCAATAGTGCCCGCACCCCCCTGTCCTCTTTTTGGGTCTCCGGGCGGAGATAGTTTATTTTTCCGCGTCTGAGATTGGGCCTGTTGCTGTCGGCGTTTCTCTACTTCGTTTATCAAGCCTTTTAGATACACTTCGGCTTGGACGGATGCGCTGTAGGCGACGGGAGTCCAGCACCAAACATTTTCGTGGGTAGCATCAGCGCCAGCGGCAAGAAGTGTGCGGAGTACAAGAAGATGGCCACCGCTGCTCGCAAAATGTAGGGCTGTGTTGCCCTCCTGGTCCTCGCGGCGGACGGCTTCTCGAGCCCCTCCAGGTACGTACGTCAGTAAGATCTGGACCACCGTATCGTGACCGCCGCGGCTGGCTTCCATGATGGCATCACGGCCGTGAATATCACGGCACAATATCCAGCTCGCATCAACCTGACACAGGTAGTGCACGGTCTCGATAAGGCCACCACGAGCCGCCAACATTAACGCTGTCTCGTGGCTTTCGTTCAAGGCTGGTCCCCCCTTTTCATGACCAAGTTCGATGAGGAGCTGACAGATGGAGAGGTGGCCCAAGCTCGCTGCAAGGTGCAAGTTTGAGTTCGACAGACCGACATCGCTTATATCGGGGTTGTAAAGCAGCTGGGGGTGTGATTTCAAAATGCGTTTCGTTAAGGAGAGGTCGTTAGCGTGAATCGCACGGCGTAGACGAATAGAGGCGTCGATCCTAACAAGCATCACATCGAATCAGCCATGGCGGCGAGTAAATAGTTATCAAACTTAGGCTGCTCTGCAAAAGCCAAAGCATTCGCGTAAGTTCGAATCTTACATTTCACCAGATCAAGGCTTAAGGAGAAGGTAGAAATATTAGTTTAGTTGACTAAAAACAAATTGGCGTGTTAAGTTCTCCGTACTCCATACTCCGTAACTTATTTATTATCACTTTGTTTAGGCCCTAATTCCAAGGTTTTTAGTACGCCTTTTAGTACAGTACACGGCGGAGCCATGCTTAACCGATACCTAAAGCGACTAGCAAACTGCATATAAATCAATATACCGTTTATGCAAACTGCATTTCGTACCTAGTTACGTAAGGTATACTTAGAAAATAAGGGGTAGTACGGAGGTCCCTACCAAAAGTTCTTTCTCACCGCTTTGGCAAAATAAGAAGGTGGGTATAGTGCTAGTAATGTATTGCTACTGTATTTACTACAGCAGTGTTAGCGTATTTCTATGTGCTAAGCGCCCTGTAAAAATATTAGTAATTGAGTTATATTAGCGATAATATCCACTAAGCTCTAGCGTATCATCGCTAATAGCTTTCTCCGTATGATTTACACTCTGCACTATGTATTGCCGCAGTTATAGAAAAGCGGTGAGAACGAACTTTTGGTAGGGACCTCCGTATATAGAGTATTAAGTACTTTATGCAAATTTAGTATTATTATATATAAGCAAGTAAAAAAATAGATAAAGATAAAAAGATAATCGAATATGCTATGGCTTCTACTCCGTGCACCACTAGTCTGTACGCGCAGTCTTTGCGCGAATACTAGTGTAAGACGCGTACGGTAAATAAGTTGTTATAGTTTAATAAACTTTAATCGTCTCTTTGCTACTATTAAGGTAGTGTTGCTATTACTTAAAGAAGTCTATAATTGCTAGTAGCTTTGTACTATAATTTAGCTTTAGTCTTTATAGTTTTCTTAACTAAAAGGCAATTAAGTGCTAGGCTCTTTCTTTATCTTATTAAAAGATAATCCTGCTAATAGCTACCTTTAAGGCATTAGTCTCTATGCGTATTACCCGTTCTAGGTTAAAATGGCGTAGTAGAGTTGCTTTTATAAATGCCCTTTTTAGCATTATAAAGGCTACGCGCTCTTTGCTCTCTAGCTATACTAGTCTTAGCTTTTTACTATTTTTGCTACCTTATAGCAGCCTTAATAAAGAAGATAAATTGTCTAAGTAAGCTTTAATAAAGCAATAATAAAAGTTGTAGAATCTAAGAAAGACCTATACCTTTCTAAATATTTATAGCGTTAGCTATTCTATAATTACGCGTACTCTGCGTAAGTCTATTATAAACTCTTTGCTTTTAATAACAAACCCTAGGAATTTAACTTCTTATTAGTAAAACAAGCATTTGTTGCTGTTAATAAATAACTAGGCTTGCTAAAGACGCTTAAAGACCTAGTTTAAGTGCTCTATATGCTTTTTTTTATTATATAAGAATATAAAGATATTATCTAAGTAGGCAATATAGATTATATCTACTAGACTATATAGCGCTTAGCTAATATAGTGCTAGAAGGTTGTTAGGGCGTTAGTTAGCTTAAAAGGTAAGACTAGGTATTTAAAAAGACTATATCTAGTCTAAAAAGCTATCTTTTATTTATCTTCTTCTTTAATCCTTAAGTAGTAATACGCCTCCTTAATATTAAAAATTAATATTACCTTTATTCTTATTACATAGTCTATAATCTTAAAGATTAGGGGTAGTAGGTATTAGTTCTTTACTATAATCTTATTTAACTCTTTATAGTTAACGTATAAGCGTAAGCTTCTATCCTTCTTAGGTATAAAAAGAATAGGTGCGCTTATAAAGCTTTTTAATAAGTAAATTTATTATATTACTAAGTTATTATCTAAGTACTAGCGTAGCTCTTTTAATTCTTTTTATAACAAAAGATATATTATCCTATATAGTAGTTAACCGCTAGGTAGAAGATTAATTATATAGTTAGCAGCCTTATATAGTAGTAAGACCTTAGCGTTAAATAAATTTAATACGCTACTATACTTACGCGCTAAATGCGCAAGTAGTACGCCTATGCCTCTTAGATAACCTTTTACTTCTAGGTTGCCTAGCAAGATTATATATACCTATACGCGCTCTCTACGCGCTATAGTAAGGAAGATTCCTTATAGTATAAGTTGTATAGTATTTATATATGCTTTAAACTACTAGCAGTAGTTTACTAGCTTTAAGTAAACTTTCTTACTCTAAAAGGTTATTATTAATAGTAATATAATTAGGCCTCAATACCTAGTAAGTTTAATAACTCTTATATAAACTTATATAATCTTATAGGTATACTTATAAGAGTCTTTTATACGCAAAAGCACCTTCTACGCTTTTGCTACGCTTATAATGCTTTTGTTATACGCTTTAAGGGTTAGTACTAACATCTTTATAAATTTTAGTCCTTATAGTCTTATAAATTTATAGTTAATAATATTAAGACTTATATAAGTATTCTATATAATACATACTTTTATAGTTATTAGTTTAAGAAGAGAATCTTGAATAAAAAAAGAATCAGTAATCTTAATTATCTTTAGTAACGCTTAAAGGTCTTAGTTTGTCTTAGGCATCTTTAGTTTTTTACCTTCTTAGCATTCTTTTTAGTTAGCTAAACTAAATTTACTAATATAGTCTTTTACTTTTTTAAGCAGTTTTAAGCAAAGTAACCTTTACTTTTATAGATAAAGCACTTTATACGCTTACTATTTATATAGGTAAGGATCTTTTAGTAGCTCTTAGTAGCTATAGTAGCTAGTCTACCTCTTCTTTTACCTTAGCCTTTACCTTTAACACTACTATAATAGTTACTATAATTATTTTTTTAAGTAGTATTATTTTAATAGCTACCCTTATAGCCGTTTTAACTCTTTTATACCTTTTTACTATATATACTATTATTATTTTATTTTAACTAAGCCTTTAGCTTCTTTAAGCTTTAAAACGTTATTACTTTAACTACTAGCTTTGCTTTAGTCTATAGTATTTTATTCAATTTTAAAAGATCTTCCTTTAATTTTAAAAGTAGCTTAAAGAATAGCAACTATGCTTATTTCTCTTTTAATTTAATAAGTAATTAGTTTCTAAAGAAGGTAAAGTAGTTATTAATGTCTTAAACAGTTTGCCCTAGTCTTTAGTAAGCCTTACTAATTTTATTAGTAATAATAAAAGCTATATTATAAAGATTAGCTATAAAGGTTAAGGTTTAAGCCTTAAATGCATCTTAGTTACTTTAAGCCTTTACTACTACTATGTTTATTATACTTTATAAGTACGTTTCCTATATAGTATAGCATAACTACTTTATATACTTAAGCATATAATTGATCTAGTAACTAGCGCTTTTAAACTTATTAAAAGCTAGATAAAAGTATTGCTTCCTAGCCTATAGCTAGATAGCGCGCTTTTAAAAGCTGCTAAATATCTTAAAGGGCAGTTTAATGCCGCTTTTTAAGATAATATCTTAACTATAAAGGCTATCTTTGTTAAAGTTCTTGCTATAAGTGCACTTACCCTTTACTTAGGTTACTCTTAATCCAAAAGCTATTACTATAAGTCTACTATTTACTACTTTAAGCGCTCCGCTTTACGTAGTCAATTATTTTTAGCAATAAAGTCTGCTACTATCTAGTCTATAGTAAGCTTAATAGTCTGCTCTAAGAAGCCTTTACCCGCATTATCGTTATCTAGTTACTTATAATCCTTTTTTAAGAGATTAAAGTCTTTATTCTCTACTTCTTTAACAATAAGGTTAAGAGGGTTCTCGACTATTGCCCTAAAGCTACTCTCTCCTTGCGCACTACATGCGTACAACGTTTGCTTTATAGTCTTTTAAGGTGCTATTACTCCTTCTACCTTTTAACTTAAGTAGCTTAATAGTAAAAGAATTAAGAATTGTTAAAGGTATACTTAGGTAGGCTAGGTAAGTTAAGCAGGCAAAGAGGTATCTTCTTGATAAGAGGAAGCAGCCGTATATTCAATAGCTAATTCTTGCCTCTTACACTCTAAGGGAGTACAAGAGGCGCTCTTTATCGTAGGCGCACCTTTAGCGCACTAAGTGCGCAAGGCAAGCGCGACCCTGTTTCTACTTAGCCTGTGCGCTAGCACGTGCTGTGGCCTGTGCGCAGACTGCGCCACGCAGACTGCGCCACAAGTACCGCTTCTAGTCTACGATGTGCATTTAATACGCTGTGCGCATACTGCGTATAGCTTGCGTGTGGCCTGCGTTGGTCCTCTTCCTAGGGCGGCGTAACACTTTTTATAAAAGCGTAGTTTTTTTCTTATTATTATTATAGCATTATTTCTTTATAAGCTTACTAGCTTATATATTAATAACTATAATTACTTACTTTTAGTTATTGTATTTTTTCTTTACCTTTAGCTTTAAAACTAATACCTTTTATAAGTATTAGTAATTTTTATTATTATACTAAAAGACTTACTAATAGTTTTATTTTAATACTACTTTACTAAGTAGTTATTAAGCTTTTACTAGTACCTTTAAGTAATCTTACTTACTTAGTTAAAAGTATTACTAATGTTTTATTATAAGTAATTTTATTTTTACTAGTATACTATTAATAACTTACTACTTTACTAAAGCATCTAGCTTTCTTTATAAATATAGTATATTTAAAATTCTAAGTTTAAGTATTCTTAATAAATAAATATAATAAAGTATATT